GACGTCTGGCAAACCTTTCGCTTTCATTTAGCGCCAGAATAAGCCAAATGAACTGCGGTTCGTTTTCATGATGATTGGCCTCACCACAATGAGTACCATCGTGCTTTTGGATATAAGGTTACCTTTTGTGTTGTAAAGAAAGTTCGGTTGCTAGACTTTACGACTTGCGGCTGCAAATCATTACAGTAAAGGGGCTGCCAAGAGCGAGCTCAGAGCCGAACAACAATCACTTGGCTTTGGGACAGCATTCAACTACCTGAAATGACTCCTTTGTGATTCAGGCCTTTGCCCAATTCGAAAGGGAAATTAACTTGCTGTTTTGTTCTGGCTGTTTCTTGGATTGATCCTATTATACATCCTTGTGGGGATGCAGAGATTAATTTAACGTAATGGACTATGTTGTTTGATTCTTTTCATCAGGGCTGATGGCTGGAGAAAATCCAGCAAAGCCCTGGCCAGTATATTGGAGGTGACTTTCCAAAAGTTGTCTAAAATGGCCGTGGAAAGGAATTGTGACCACATATATGCCCCCCAGATCTCAACTCCTCAAAAGCTCCTGGCGAGTAGTAAATTGATGGAACAGGCTCCCCGGGGAGACAGACACCGGAAGCAGAAAGTGTTGATTCTTTCAAAAGCAATTACATCGATGTCTTTTAGGAAATAATATCTTGGGATGTAGTTTGGGATGTGACGTGTGTTTGCGACTGACTGCCAGGATGGCAAAAGACATCAATTTTTAGGTTCTTATAACTCAAGCATTCTGACCGGGCACCTGAGCTGCGTTTGTACGTTTGTGTGTAGACATTGGATGAGGGTAAAATGGGAAATGCTGGAGGCCATTTCTTTATAATTACCATGAGAGTTTGGTCTCTTCCCTAACCAGCTCTTCCTTTCAGTTTTCAAAGCAGTTTCCCTCAACGCTCTTCACAGATTAAATAATTAATGGAACAGACTATTTGACAAATGTGACAACCCTCAGAAAACGAAGGACAATTTTGACCGACTTTTCCTATTAAGGGAGATTTCTGGCTTAGCGTTCCACATTGTCAGGAATACTCTGCTTGGACTCAGTGTGGCAATCCACAAATATGATATTTCTGAAAATCCTTTAAAACAGCTTACAGTTCCAGTAAATATTGAACGCCGGGATGATGTAAACAACAGCTAAGAGCCAGAGACATCATAGAGTCTGAAGACTCATCAGTTTCAGCTACTTGGATTAATTTCAATCTGGCTAGAGCCGGGGTTCAATTAACTTTTAAATTTGATTTCACTCATGTCCAAAAGTAATTAGCATTGAGGCACAGGTTAGTGGAATGTTGGACACATGTGCACGTTTGCATACAGAAGGTTTCACTTTCCTTGCTCTTACTATAATAATTTCTTCCAATTTTTTTTAAAAAGATAATAATTTGGTCACTCAATCCATGACTGTTTGCAAAATTGGCTGCCACGTATCACCCACAAAATATACAGTCAATTCACTTTACAGTATCTTTTGTGAAGTGCTTTGAGACGTCTAGAAGACGCGATAAGGCGCTATATCAAACGCAAGGATTATTACCATATCAAAATAGTGTGAGAAACCAATAAACAAGGCAAACAGGATATTGGGCTATTTTGCTAAATCAGTTGAATTCAGACAACAGCAAATTACACTTGTAAAGCGCCCTTTATGTCAGAAAGATGTCTCAGGGCACTGGATAATCGGGGTTGGGACCCGAGCTGGGAGTTGGAGTCAGGAGGGGTGGAGGGCAGTGAGGGGCGTTGGGTTTGGGAAGGTGGCCGAAGACACGATCGAAGAGGAAGGTCTTTAGACCGGACTTGGAAGAAGGCAAAAAAGGAGGTGAGGCAGAGGGATTGCGGGATAGAGTTCCAGAGTGTGGGGGCAGAGATGCTGAATGCCCCCAGAATGCTCCCAGAGGTCACACTCAAGATCTATAGAGCCCTGGACAGGCTACACATAGAGTACTGTATGTGATTGTAGTTGCCGTGACATAAGGAGGGTTGCCTAGGCTTCAGAAGCTGTGTAGAGGAGAGCCACGGGATGATCGATCCCCAGTATGAGAGGAATGAGCTATGATCCAGTCGACTGAGGTACCTCATGACCAAAATCTATTTTCTACATTATCCCAAAGGTTCAGGAGGCACAAATCAGTAATGCTTAAAGCGGATGATTATATCTATGCTTGGAATACAAAAAAAATCAATGCAGAATCTTGGCACCAATCCATTAAGCACCACCTCGCACACATTGCTTGCAGAGAGGCCGGTTGTAGTGAACCATGAGAAGGACTTGAGCCATTATCAGCACGCCAGCACAAATTCTCCTACACTTTTCCCACTCCCGACTTATAGAAGGCAGATGTGTTGAAAACAGGTTCAGGAGAACTGGCAGCCTCACCTGCCAACTGTTATTTCGCCACCAAATGATCAAACAGTAATTGCTATAAATGCTGAGCACACGTGTGGGGAAACCCTTTAATTGCATCAATATCCCTGGCTTTAATAAATGCATGCGGACACAAGAGAAAGCATCTCTGTCTACCGTCTGTTATCTAATAATAATTTGGTCACTCAATCCATGACTGTTTGTGGGGACTCTGCTGTGCGCGATTGGCTGAGCATTTCGCCCACAAAATGTACAGTCAATTCACTTATACAGTATATTCTGTGGAGCGCTTTGAGATGCCTGGAAGACATGATAAGGCGCGAAATAAAATGCAAGGATTATTATTATCTCAAAACCTGCTTATTCTTAATCAGATGTGCTATTTGAGTCTTATTCTAAACATTATCAGCAGTGATATTTCTTCCTTCCTTTTTCTCTTGTGTTCTTGCTCCTTTTTATTCACATTCTACGCCTTTGCATTTTCCTACGTCTCCTTCATCTTGAGCCCAACAGTTCACCATGTATCAGTTTTTGTGACAACCCAAGTACCTTTATCCATTTTCATCGCCCTGGTCTGTGAGGCAACTACCGTCCCATTTCTAACCTGCCCTTCCTCGCAAAAGTCCTAGAACGCGTTGTTGTCAATCAACTTCGCGCACCCCTCTCCTCCCACTCCCTCCAATCCGGTTTCCGCCCTGTCCACAGTACAGAGACTGCGCTTGTGAAAGTCACAAACGACATTCTCTCTATCTGTGACCAGGGCTCCCTCTTCCTCCTTGTCCTCGTGGACCTCTCCGCGGCGTTCGACAAAGTCCATCACGCCATCCTCCTCCACCGCCTTTCCTCCGTCATCCACCTCAGTGGGACCGCACTCGCCTGGTTCGAGTCCTACCTCACAAACCGCCAGCAGTACATCTGCACAAACGGCTTCTCTTCCCGATCTCACCCGGTCACCTGCGGGTACCCCAAGGATCCATCCTTGGCCCCCTCCTCTTTCTGATCTACATGCTCCCTCTTGGGGATGTCATCCGCAGACATGGGGTACATTTCCACATGTACGTGGACGACACACAACTCAATTTTTCCACCTCTCTTTGCGACCCCCAGTCCCCTGATGTTCTGTCATCTGCCTTTCAGACCTCAGGGGCTGGATGAGTGTAAATTTCCTTCAGCTGACAAGACCGAAGCCATACTCTTTGGCTCTCATCAACGTCTAAAATTTCATGGCTCTCACCTCCTCCACCTACCCGACCCCTAAAACTCTTCGAACCCATACGCAATATAGGCGTCAGGTTCTCGACCCCCAATTATCCTTCCTCCCCCACATCCGGTCCCTCACCAGCATTGCCTTCTTCCACCTCCGACTCATCGCCCATCTCTGCCAAAACCTCTCTCCGAAAGCCGCTGAAACCCTAGTCCATGCCTTTGTCACCTCTCCCCTGGACTACTCTAACGCCCTCCTCGCCGGTCTCCCATCCACTACCATCCATAAAATCCAGATCATTCAAAACTCTGCCGCCCGCATTCTCACCCGCACCAGACTGCACTGGCTGCCTGTCCCAAAGAGGGTCGACTTCAAGATCCTCACCCTTGTATTCAAATCTCTCCACTCCTCTGCACCCCCCTACCTCTCTGACCTCTCTCCTCAAAACAGTACCCGTTGCCTTCATTCCTCCGGGTCTGGCCTACTCCTTGTCCCCCGAGTCCTCTGCTCCACCCTCGGCGGCCGTGCCTTCAGCCACTATGCCCCGAGGCTCTGGAATTCCCTTCCTCACTCCCTTCGCCTCGCCCCCTCTCTTCCTATTTTCAGGTCTCTGCTGAAGACCTTTCTTTTTGACTGCGCCTTTGGTCTCCTTCTTCCCCCTCCCCCTGGCTCGGCGCCGGGATCCGTTACTGTGAAGCTCTGAAACACTGTCTGGGGTGGAGGGCACTATATAAATCCAAGTTGTTGTAGCTCAGTGGTTAGGCACTCGCCTCGCAAGCGAGAGACCTGGGTTCGATTCCCGGGCAGGGCGAAACGTTGGGCAAGTTTCCTTACTCCACACGCCTCCGTTTACCTAACAGTTGGTTTAGTGCACATTTATTTACGTTCTGTTTCATTTAAAGGGAAATAATGTAACTTGTGGAACAAACCGAAAATGGTGGATTTCACCGTTGACCTTTGGTCAACATCGAAACCACAAAGATTGGAATGAAAAAGCGAAACTCGTCTAGGAATCTTCCAGTAGTTTCTAGTAGAAGTTCAGTGAATGGGTTTATGATTGAGAGAGAGAGGGATTGCGTGCAAGGGTTAAGTAGATAATGAAGGTATCAAACTGGTGAAAGGGGATCTTTTCTGAGACCGGACTTGCAGCAACAACAAGAACAACAACAGATTACATTTGTAAAGCGCCTTCCATGTCGGGAGGATGTCTGAAGGCGCTGGACAGTCAGGGATTTGGACCCGAACTGGGGGTTGGGATCACGTGGTAGGGGGAGGGAGGTGTGGGGAGGAAGGGTAGGAGTAGGAGAGTGGCCGAATGCTCGGTCGAAGAGTAGGGTCTTGAGACGTGCTTTGAAAAAATACGTATACCATTTGATGTAATCAAATTGTGTCTTTATTTTTAAGGTGTCTGTGTTGAAAGCCCAAGAATGGTGTCCAACCAAACAGTACACTGCTGCTGGAGAATGTTGTGAAGCTTGTCCCCCTGGAGAGGGGATGAAGGTCCTCTGTGGGGAGGAAAACACTGAGTGTGAGATCTGCTTGGACAGTGAGTACGCTCTACATTACAGCTCCCTATTCCGTGATCTGTTCTACCACCTCTGTGACTTCCTAACCCCCTACCAACCTGTCCGCTTCCTCCGCTCAGCGGTCTCTGGTCTGCTTCACGTCCCCACTGCCTGGCCTGCCCCGCCCCACCATTGGCAGGCAGGCGGATCTTCAGCCTCTCTGCCCTCCCACTCTCTGAAACTCCATCCCACAGTCCCTCCACCTCGCCCCCTTTCTTGCTTCCTTCAAGACGCGTCTCAAGACCCTCCTCTTCGATCGTGCCTTCAGTCACCCTCCTAACCCCTACCTTCACCGCCCTCCACCCCTCCTGATCCCAACCACTAGCTCGTGTGCGGATCCCTGACTGTCCAGCGCCTCGGGACGTCCTCCTGACGTGAAAAGCACTTGTGAACATAATTTGATGTAATTTTTGATTGGAGAGTCTGTGGCCTGGTTCAGGACATGAACTGATCTCAGTTTCAGTCCAAATTAAGAGTTATATTTTGGCCCTTACAAGAATGTTTTCCTTTTTTCCTCTAGGTGTCACTTACTCAAACATCTCAAGCCACACCGACCCGTGCCAACAGTGTACAGTGTGCACAGGCACAATGACCATGAATATTCCTTGCATGGATAGCTTTGACACGGTCTGCTCTTGCATGAATGGGTTTTACCTGAACAGCAGCGAAGATGAAAAGTGCCTTCCGTGTGAGATCTGCGACAACGGGTCTGGTGTCCTGGAGCAATGCACCGAAACACAGAATACAATCTGCGAGGTCTGTCCTCCAGAGACCTATTCTGACCAGAAAAGCAGCATCGACCCATGCATGCCTTGCACTATTTGTGAGGAGAATGAGATGATGGTCACGGAGTGCTCGTCTGTGCAAGACACAGTATGCACATGTAAGTCCACTCGCCTCTTGGGAGCTGTCACTTGAAACGCGTCACTTCTGCTTGATGTTTTTGTTGAACAAAACTAGTGTAGTGTTGAGATGCACAGTGGGGAAGTTGATTCATAAATTGAAGCTGATGATTTTGATTACAAGACTGTGGGGAGTGGGAGGTTTGACTTAAGTTACCAGGTATCTAGCAGACTTGATAATGATAATCACAAGGCGCTATACAAATGCAATTTGTTGTTGTTAATACACATTTGTCTATGTATTGGTCTGATTGTTATTAATGGTGGATCCAGATGGAGGTGATCATGTACCCCATGCAGATCCAGATCTATACTAGGCAACTCTAGCCCCCGCATCCTCACCCACATATGATTGACTGCAAGGTCCTCACTCTCACCGACATATGCCTTTGAACCCTTATCTCTAAGCAACTCCTTATCTCTCTGATCTTTCCTATCCCTATTGTGCCTGCTCTGCTCTCCACCTCCACTTAAACTTGATATAGTGTCTTTCACATCGGGAGGACATCTCAAAGAACTTACCAGGATCCAGAGTGTAATGACCATGTATTATATAATAATAGTAATAATAATAATTTTTGCATTTGATATAACGCCTCATCAGGTCATTGAAACGTCTCAAAGCGCTTCACGGATCATACTGTAAAGTAAATTGACTGTATATTTGTGGGTAAAATACAGCAGCCAATTGCAGTGCAGCAATGTCCAACAAACAGTCGTGGCTTGAGTGACAGATTTTCTTTTTTAAGGAATTATTACCCCCTGGAAAGCGATCCGCCAATCGACTAAAAAACAGTAGTTTCTACTTACTGCTCGGTAAACAGAGGCATACAGAGTAAGAAAACTTGCCCAACTTTTCGGCCTGCTCTGGAATCGAATCTGGATCCTCTCGCTTGCGAGGCGACCACTCTAACCAATACTTTACAGAACTCCATAGTAGGTGGTGTGAATGCTAAGTGTTATAGGTGGACATGTAGCATTTTAGCAGAGGCAGGTGCGTGAAGTGCTACAGTAATTTTTGCGTTAAAAATTGCACAACGCTAAATAAAGAGTTTGTTGCCTTTGAACTGCACAAAACCGCAAGCATTTCTGTTTGACGGCAGCATTTGTGACCTACGTAACATTTGGCCGAAGTTCAAATTTATTGATAACAGCAGAAGAAGAATTTTATGTTAAAATAAATGAAGAACATTACACAAGAGGAAGTCCGGAAATTCTTAAGGTTTGCTAAACATGCTATATCGTGGATCCCAGTCAATATTCTTATTAAACTGACCCGATGTCACCCTGGGAACACTTTGATATGTTGCCAGCAGCCCATATACTGGCATCCACGGAGAAAAAAGGATTTCGCTACCTCCATCTGGAGCAAATGATGAACCTCCCTATTTCCCATTTGTCTGCGTTGCTTTAAAAGTAACCACTTAGCCATTACTGCTGACACGATATTTTGGAGAGCAAAGCACATATAAAGCATCTATTGACGAAAGCCATAAAAGAGCATCTACAAACGCTATTCAAGGCTACACAGCATTGATTTCCAGATGCTCAGCCTTTGATGATACGATTTGCCTGAAGCTCTACAGCAGAAATGGTGCGAGGCCTGCGAAGGGCCTTGCGTAACCCAAATGAGTTCTTGTGTAGAGAATGCTGGAGTCAGAAGAATATGACACTTATTTAGCTCGGAAACTAATTAGCATCTACAGTCCTATATAGGGCCATGTCAAGCTAACACAACTAAGCTTTTGTTGATGGGTGCTTTCTGCTAGAGGGTAGGGCCTGAGACTTGACCCAAGGGATGGCCATGAAAGGCTGAATCTGAGCAGGGGAGAGCAGTTCAGGTTAGAAAATATCATTATCTGCTTCCATCTGTTCTTCCCGGTTGCCTCTTGATAGTTCGCTCTCCACAAGAGATGTTCAAGAATTAATTAATGACTCTTTTATTTTTTTTAACTGGGATCTCAAGGCGTGGAGTGAATCCAATAGGATGATTGAGAAGAGTAGCAGAGGAGATAAGATCAGTCAAGGCGATGTGGCAAAAAGTGCTAATAATAATAATAATAATTGCATTTGATATAGCGCCTTATCACATATTCGAGATGTCTCAAAGCGCTTCACAGAATATACTGTAACGTGAATTGACTGTATTTTGTGGGTGAAATGCGGCCCAATTGCACTCAGCAGTGTCCCACAAACAGTCGTGGATTGAGTGACCAATTAGTTATTATTACTTTTTTNGAAGGAATTATTGCCCCTGGGAAAGTGTTCCACCAATCGACTAACAACTGGGTTCCTACTTACCGCTAGCTAAACAGAGGAGCGTGGGACATCCTCCCGATGTGAAAGGCGCTCTGTAAATGTAATTTTGTTGTTGTGTGGAGTAAAGAAACTTGCCCCAAATTTTGTCCTGCCAGGAATCAAACCCAGGTCTCTCACTTGGGTGGCAAGTGCTCTAATCACTGAGCTAAGCTTGGGGTTTAAAAGCCTGTAGATCGTATGAGTGAGTGAAGCCTTTAGGTGTCACTCCAGCTCAGTGAGTAGCGCTCTCGCCTCTGAGACAGAAGGTTGTGGGTTCAAACCCCACTTTGGGATTTTGAGCACACATTCCAAGCTGACACTCCAGTGCAGGGCTGGGGGGAAGCAGTGCTTTGTAGAAGGTGCCATGTTTCAGTTTTGATGGTTAAAACCGAGGTCTCATCTGGGCCTGTTTGAGTAGACATCAAAAGATCCCGTGGCACTGTTCGAAAACAGAGAAGGGAATTTTTCCCAGTGTCCTGGCCAACAATCCTACAGATAAAATTGGTCACTCACATCATGGCTGTCTGTAGGGGTTGCTGTGCATCAGTGATGCAGCTAGGAATTTGCTCAAAGGGAGGTAAGAGGCAGAGTGACTGATTAACCACGTTCACCACACTTTACAGTGAATCCTGTGAAGCACTTTGGGATGTCCTCCTGACATGAAAGGCATAGCACCAAATGCAAGGATGATTATTATTATTATTACTAATATGATTTAAAGATTCTGAAACCTGAAGAACGACTAGCGGAGTTGCAGCTGCCTTCGCTGTGATGGCACATGGCTTTAAAGTACCAAGAGTTGTATGTGATGCAGATCTAAAGAGACTTCTAACTTAAACACTTACAATTAGTTCTCAGGTAGACCAGATCCAAGGCGAAACCAATCAGTGCTTTGAAAATAATTTGGATAAATGCCGGTAGCTCCTTTACTCCAAACGCCTCTGTTTGTCTAGCAGTAAGTAGGAACCCGGATGTTAGTCAATTGGCGGATCGCTTTTCTGGGGATAATAATCCCTTCAAAAGAATAATAATAATTTGGTCACTCAATCCACGACTGTTTGTGGGACACTGCTGTGCGTAATTAGCTGCCGTGATTCGCCCAGAAAATACACAATCGATTCACTTTACAGTATATCCTGTGAAGCGCTTTCAGATGTTTCGAAGACGTGATAAGGCGCTGTATCAAATGCAAGGTTTATTATGATAACTTGAATATTAAATGATTCCAGCAGCTCCCTGAGTCTAGGCATGGTTTTTATCACGTACAATATATTTTCAGAATTCTTTATCTGGATTGAAATTGCCTTTTTGGGATTTTTTTTCCACGCCTTAATGTTGCTTTGAAGTTGGATTGTGCGATACAGATCAACTGAACATGTCTAAAATGCAGTGAGAAAGTCAATACAAAGTTAGCCATGTGGCACTATCTTATAAAACTGTCTGTCACTCTGAACATTTTTAGACTTTTTCTCATGACAAAACCAGATTGGAATCCTGGAGAAATGTGCTGAAACACTCAGTAATCTTGGCTCAAAATTTGGTATTGGTTTTGGTCAGCCCGAGTGTCTGACATGCGAAAACTCATTATTATGCTAAAATGTACCCAAATCACACTGGGAACTCCACATATGTGTACCACGTGCACATAGACTTCCCTGTGTCTGAAATGGAATGCGTAATCTCTCCCTGGAGGGTACCTGCTTATTTAATTCCAGAGAGTATTAGGTGCAGTTAGTAAGAGGACTCCAGAGTGTGCATTGGAGTCAAAGCAGATTGCTATTGAGGGCTCCTGTAGCTCAGTGGTTAGAGTGGGTTTGATTCCCGGGCAGGACAAGTTTTCTTACTCCACACGCCTCTGTTTACCTAGCAGTAAGTAGGAACCCGGTTGTGGATCGATTGGCAGATCACTTTTCCAGGAGTAATAATTCCTTCAAAATAAATAAAAATAATTCGGTCACTAAATCCACGACTGTTTGTGGGACACTGCTGTGCGCAATCGCCCACGAAATATACAGTCAATTGACTTTACAGTATATCCTGTAAAGCGCTTTGAGACACCTCGAAGACATGATAAGGCGCTGTATCAAATGCAAGGATTATGCCTATTCTTATTGAGGGCACTGTCCATTGCTTGTCAAGCTGGGACCACCCTACCCGTTAGTGTTTTGGCTTGCAGGGTTAACAGGAGCTGCCTGGAAACTCTCTCTGCCCCCAGTGAAAAATGTTGTTGCCCTCAAAAGGGATTAACAAGTCAATTTTAGCCCGGTTTGAATGAACCCAGGCTGATGGGATTAATCTGCTGGTGGATGGCATATTCGTAAACATTGACAATACTAAAATAAATTACGGGGAGAAGAGGAAAAAAAAATCAAGAAAGTGAGCAGCTTGCTATCCGATAAGATCAGTAGGGATTTTTTACCAGAAGGCTTTCGACGTTATCGGAAAAGGCCTTGCGTTTTGATCCGATGAGCTGAGCCGATTCCGCAAGCCACATTCCGCAAGCTTTGAATATTTTCCCCGTCACCCATTAGCTGATTTTCATTGTACCGTTTGGTGGACAAAGGACCTTTGATCCATTTGACCTCAATCTTCCAAGATACTTACTTACTCTCTTCCCAGTTTCTCAAATGAGTCCAGCTTCCTGACCTATATGCCATCCTTTCTGATTCCACTTGTTCCTGAC